TTATGTGACTTACAGTTTTCTTCGGTGGGCGTTGCATTCCCTCTTTCCCAGTAGTACCTGAAGTATGTTTCAATTTTGATCAGATTTGTTGAATTCGGCCCCAAAATGGCGTATTGGGCCTGAATATTGTAATATTTCAGGTTACCAGACGGGCCGCCCTGAATGGACGAGCTTTGTACTCGGAGCATTTCACGGTCAACCCCACAATCCATCGCTGTGCAACATTAGTCATCCTCGGTTTCAAATGGCATGTACATATACAGTAGGTTTACAGTGTAATCCTCCAGATGCTCCGAAGTAAAAACACTCAAAACACTGCTGAAATTCGAATACTTGATGATTCTACAGTTTCTATTGGTGAAAAGTCGAAGCAGCATGGGAAGTATTGTATGCAATGGAAACATGAGATTTGGGGACCCAGTTGCGATGAACATGAACGTCGCCGCGTATGTATGAGGCTTGGACCAACACAAGCGTCGTCGAGTTGATTCTGTGCGGTTGGAGACGAATTGAGAGTGAACGAGAGGCGAAGTTCTAACTCGTGCTCCCTTCTGCGATGTACATGCATTGCCCCAACTTGAATGCACCCACAACGCGCTTCGATAATAACATTGAACTTCAACATCTCCTGCTCAAGATTTTCTTTGCTCAAAGGTTCCATTCACTGTCAACTTCACAGGCCGTGGCTGAATGAATGCGATGGGTGCCATTCAAAAGCAAGATCTAGACTCGCTGCATTGTACTACCGGTAGTACTCACCTGGGGCTATTCATAAGTCGATTCAACGTGATATTGGTCATGTTTGGCCAGCTGTGCCTTCGCTTGCTAACGTTAGACGACTTTGTGAGGACGATGAACTAGTTACCGGCACAGAGCTTCAAAAGCAGTACATCGCACACGTTACAGAAACCAGACCGTGGGATAGCGATACAAATGTGTGTCTTGCCCAATCACAATGCTATTGAACTGATTCCACCCTTGTGATTGGTCATTTCAAGGTTCAAGACGCTGGGGCAAATTGAATTTTCGTGTGGAGTGTTCGAGTCATGAACACCCACCCACTAATACCGGTACATGTACCGTACATCCACAATCCCGCCAGATTGTTGGAATTGAGCTTCCCCATCTCCACCACCTACCAGGCAAGATATAAACCATTCAGCCATGTTTGGCTGCGCTATAGGTATCTATATATCTATATTGGCAGCCACTGGACTGAGTAAGTTCTTGGCTAGATAAGAAATGCGTAACATTGGATCACTTCGCGACCGAAACCTATGTACAGACCTTCACCTTGAAAAACAAATGTGTACTATCATAACAGAGGCCGCCAGGTGCTTCGGTTCAGGGCTACAACAGGTAGTATGTACTACGTAGTTTGTGACAACAGGTCTCATCAGGCAGTGTTGGTGGTCAAGGGAGTCCAAGGGCCTCCCCACGACCAATAATTCAGCTCAAGTGGGAGTCTGGTCGAAGACAAATCGAAGTTGACGCGCCATCTGGTTACCATCTGGCGGTGGTCGAAATGCTACTTTGACCCGTTCAGTTGTGAATTTCACGCGCAGTCCTCAAGCCGAATCAGCCAACATGGGAGCGTTAGACAACATGTTTCGCACCAAACCACTCGCGGTCATCCACGCCGAAGAGAAGAAGGAAGAGCTGCCCCGTGAACTAGGTTTGTGGGACTTGATCGCGATCGGCATCGGAGGAACCGTCGGGTCGGGTGTGTTTGCGACCACAGGAGACATCATCAGCGGTGCATATGGTGGAGGCGCCGGCCCTGCCGCGTTTATCTCGTGGACGTTGGCTGGCTTGTCGTGCATTCTAAGTGGCTTTGCGTACATGGAATTGAGCTCGCTCATCCCGTCGTCCGGCTCGACGTACGCGTATGCATACTACGCGTTGGGCGAACTCCCAGCCTTCGTTGGCGCGTGGCTCTTGACGTTGGAGTATGGCATGTCGGGTGCCGGGGTCGCTCGTTCGTGGTCTCAAAAGGTCATGGAATGGGCCGAAGAAGGCGGTGGAGACTACAAGTGGCTCAACCTCCAAAACACGAACTTGATGGCGTTCCTCATCATGTTCTTGTCCGTGATCATCTTGCTGGCCGGCATCCGCTTCGGCAAGGTGTTCATCAACATCGTCACGACCACCAAGGTGTTTGTCGTGTTGTTCATTATCGTTGCTGGGTTCGCCGCGACCAAGTCGGAGAACTTGTCGCCGTTCTTGCCCGATGAAATTTACAACAACGCGACCGAGTCCAAGGTGTTTGGCATCCAGGGGCTGATGCTGGGGGCGTCGCAGGCGTTCTTTGGCTTTGTCGGGTTTGACGAAGTGTGCTGCCTGGCGGCGGAAGCCAAGAACCCCCGCAAGATTATGCCCCGCGCGGTCATCGGGGTCATTCTCGGCACGATGTTCTTGTCCTGCTTTGCCTCCCTCGCCCTCTCCGGCATGGTCCCATCGAGTGTGTACTCCAACATGCCGTACGACCTCGGCAACGACACCGACGGCAACCCCCTCGGCACGTTTGAGTACTTTTCGTTCCCTGGCGCATTTGGCTTTGTGGGGTATACTGCCGCCCAAGTGATTGTGCACGTTGGGGAAGTCGGCACCATGCCCATCGTCGTGCTAATCTCGTTCCTGGCCCAACCTCGTCTCATGTACGCCATGTCCGTGGACGGGTTGATCCCCGAGATCTTTGGGCGCGTGGACAGCAAGGGCAACCTGTTTTGGTGCACTGTCATCTCGGGCGCGTTTTTCACCGTCGTGGCGTTCGTGATTCCGTTCGGGGACATCTGGAACATGGTGTCGATTGGGATTTTGGTGTCGTTCATCATGACCAACTCGTCGTTGCTGGTTGTGCGCACCCGCGACTCGTCCCCTGGCTTGGCCCACAAGCTCACAGGCGCACTGGTCGTGGTGGCGGCCGCGACTATGTTCACGTTCCAAAAGGGCTACGTGGTGGGCGAAAGCTCAGCTGCGCTGTACATTTCCATCGTGCTGCTCGTCGTGACGATTGCAATTGGCGTCACGATCTTTGTCAAGTGCCCGCAAAACGCGTCCGAAGGCGACCTCTTCCGCGCGCCGTTGGTGCCTTTCATCCCGATGCTGTCGATCTTGGTCAACTGGCTGCTGGTCGCCCAGATGGCGGAGAAGGACATCGCCCGCGCCTTCATTTGGATCGGCGCCGCCATCCTGACCTATTTTATGTACGGGTTCAGCCACAGCGAAGGCCGCAAGGGCTGGGCCAAGATGCTCAACCACGGCGTGCTCGGCTTGAACGAAGTGCGCCCGTCCATGAGCGACATGATGTCTGGTGACGCCAAGAAGTCGCTTCTGAGCCCCGTTGCGGACAAGTAGATTCATACTATTAATAGTATTGATGGTGGTAGCCACCCTATATAAGCTGTGCGTAATGACGAGTATGTGTACTGTACAGTACTTGCTTGTTAGACTGAAGTGGAGACATGCCGTCGAGATGATCGCAAAGTGTCCTGATACCGGTACAGATTTGTGCTTGAACAGCAACAGCTGGCATTACGACATGAACAATCGAAGATCGGAATGACCAATCGTCGAAACGTTTGCAACTTTTGATGTGCATTACAGCAAACAGCAAACAAACGTACATGGCCAGTTTATGGCGCACGGAACAGTTTAAGGTGCACTCAAATTGGCCAATGGAATTGGTTTAGTTTTGGAATAGCCAATCGAATCACTAGTAATATGAAATCGAAAATACAAAAACCTAAGCAAAACCTGCATACTACGTAGTACATAGTTTAAGCTTAAACCGTGCACCATAAACCGTCCTTCCTATTTTGTCCGTAACTTGAGTGGAAATCGAAGTACAGTGTACTACAGGTAGTAAATGAACACTACCAGTACAGTAGCTAGGGGGCTCTTCCAAATACCATCATAGTACTTTACTGTTAAACCCAAAATGCGTTCCTAAGTAAAATTATCGTTATTTCGTCGCACTTTGGTCGTGCTTTTGTCGTGTGTTTTCTGCTTCCACATGATTGGCTAGTGATGGTTTTGTCGTGTTTGGGTCCATCCTATTTGAGGTTTTCAGCGCACACGGATTGGACAAACCTATCCAATCACAGGGGCATATGCGTACATACTAATTTTCATATAAACATCAATGTGCTTGCTCGCCAGCGAAATTAACGGCAGTGGTGGCGACCTGCCCTAGAAGGCCCAAGCACAAGACGCTAGGTCATATTAGTTGTAGGAACATGTTGATTGACCAGAAGCACCATAGCTATGCCTAGCTATAGATGAAGTCTCCGTCATGATGTTCCGCAGCCTCTCCTCGTACATAGTATAATCTATGTCCTTTTATGGTGCACGTCATCTATAAACTACCAACTTTTCACAAAATTTTCTGACTTCTATTTCATTTTCATTACTCAAAATTGCAGCAAATTGAGACGTATAATCGACAGATCTCAATGTGGTGAAGAAATTCTACGTCTCAGATTCAAATTTTGTGATGAATTGGTCCAGAAATAGATATTTAACCTAGCGGTATTTTACATGGGCGCTA